TTTTTCTAATATATATATGTTGTGCATCAGTTTAAAATTTGCGTCAGATTAAAATTTAAATGCGGAGTTTGGGGTGGGTGCCTATGTTGGGCATTAGCAGAATTATAATGATTTGTCTGACGCAGATTTTAATTTAACGCACAACATATATATATAATAATATTATATATCTGAATACTTATGTAAAAAGGTATATTATATAAAGGAGTTAAATAGTTATTGCATCTATATGATACAATTATATATAGTATTATAAGTATAATACTTATAAATTATTGTATAGTGGATGAAAAAATATCAGTATGATGGTATAGGTGTAAATAAGTAATCAGATCAAATATCTGTCAGAGATATATAGGTCACGATAACAGCCCTATATTTGTGACAGATATTTGATCTGATTATTTATTTACACCTATACCATTGTGTTGATTTTTTATCTACTCATACAATAATGGTATTATTGTTCAGCTATGTTACATATAGCTATACCAAAATTTTGATCATATATATTTGTATAGTTGAGTTTTAAAATTATTATTAAACAGAAATAATTATATTATCAAATCTGTCTAATAAAAATTTAAAACTCAACCGTACAAATATAATCAAAATTTTGGTATAGCAATAACAATATAACCATACAATAATATTATATATCATATATATTATAAATCAGTTTTAGTATATAGATTCCAAACTTGATAAAATAAAGTTTTATACTACTTTTCAGACAATTTATCCAATACATTCTGCTAATATCTAATGCTAACTTAAATGCTAACCCTAATATAAGCAAACTTAAAAGATCTTTGTAGTGATTATATGAATAATTTTTTTTTCTAGTACTAGTATATAGAGATACAAAATTGGCTAATCAGCTTTATTGCTTAATCAGTTTTTATTATACTGAATATACAAGCTGATTAGCTAAAATTAATTAATAATATCATATAGTACTTAATATTTATAAATAATGTAACAATAGATCTATTTCAGATAATTGCAGATAAGTGAATTTTTATTCTTTATGTTTGGCATATTCTATTAACTATTTTAACTCTTTTAACTGTCTATATCTCTTTTATAAAATATAGAATTATGACCAAGTTGACCACAAGTATGATATTTGTAGAATCTGCAAGTCGAATTTGAACTACGAGCTTGTTTCTTTTCGATGCTGCTTATATATCTATGTTTAGGAGGTCTTTCTTTAGTAGCAACTTTATATGAGTCTTGAATATTAATAAGATCAACTGTGAGCTCTATACAGCTAATAGTAATGGTAATATCTGTAGCGATTTATATCACTATCAATACTTGGGTTTCTTCTAATATCTTGTTCATTGTTATTTTGTATGTTACCAGTAATAATACTTAGAGATTAAGTCATGATATCTTGTTTTTCTATTAAATCATCCTGATCTGTAATTTGTTCTCTTTTATTTTTTTTGTTAGATATATCTTGTAAGTATCTAAATTATCTTAATATATTTACTCTCTACAGCAAGCAGGATTAGAGTTAATATTTCAATCCAGATATATTTATATCCGAATTGATATTTTGTTATAAAATTATAGTAAAATATAGCAATTTAAATTTTGATTTATTTTATATCCAAATGTATTTGGATATAAAACATAGTGAGATGTTAACTCTAAGCAGTGTGACTTCATGAGCAAGCCCCATATTTGCCCATATCAATTTCTCTTTTAAATTATTTTCTTTATTGTTGGAATAGCAATTTGCATAGTAACCAGTTTGCATATTGGAAAGATTTCATTATTATTTGAATCAAGTATTTCTTTTTCATAAATGAATATAATACTATTTTTTCTGAAGTTATATAATACTGATAAGAGTCTTTATATCATTTAATAGGTATCATATACTTGAATGTAGCATTCCTATGAACTGAACTGAACTGAACTTTTGGCCAAGTTCAAGTTTAGTTCAAAATTAAACTAAACTTGAACTTAAAGTTTTTTTAAAAAAAGTTTAGTTCAAGTTCAATATTGAACTTTTA